TGTGCCCTGGGAACTGCTCACCATTAGCAGGACAGGGTGGTCTGTGGGTCCCTGTTGTGTTTCCCTGAAATGGGGCAGTAGGAGCTGTGTGACTCAATGTCCAAACTGAGCCCAGGAACAGTCTGAAGGTGACCACTGGGTTGCACAGAGCCTCATGTGTGTAAAACTCTGCTTCCTTTCTTCCACGTGATGGTGTACAGTGCAAAATTGGGAATGTCCCCGAGGAAAAACCCACAGGCACAGTGAAATGAAACCAGATGTGAGAGACAGCGTGCAGGCACTGCCTTCTCTTGATCTGTCAATCTCCTCTGTCGTTCAGGAAGAGAGATTGCTGGAAGGCTGTATTGCTGCACTGTGTGTGGCCCCTCAGTGAGAGGTAGGGAGGTAAGAGCTGGAACGTCCAGGTAGGGCTGGCCAGGAGGGTGGCAGGGAGCAAAGGAAGAAAACAGAGATCTTCTTACAAGGTCAGTCATCTGAATCGTATTAGATGAATTTCATAAATCAGGAAAATAATAAAAAAGGGGCCTGCATGTGGGAATACCCCTAAGACAGCAAGTATTCCCTTTTGCCATTTGTAGTATGCAAGCCACTTGAACTTGGAGACCTTTGTTTCAATTTTGGTGGCTTAGAAGGACAGGTCAGGATCATTCCCTGTTTTGGAGATGCAATAAGTGAGGCATATGCAAAGGTTTCTGTTGCAGATGTAGGCCGAGCAAGAAGATCTCTGAATCCTGCCTTTTTTAAGGCAGACTGATGGTCCAGCCAGAGACATGAACTGCTTCCATTCAGCAAAAGCAGTCCCCTGCTTTGCAAAGGCCCCCCTTGGAACTTTCAGTGACTGCTGCAGTGTATTTGTTCAGGCATCTTGAGATATCAATGTTTGTGTGGTTCGCATTGCTTCCAGTACAGGTGTGGTATTTAATGGAAGGGTAGAAGCAGTGTGCAAGGTGACAGGTACGAGAAGGAACTGTGTTCTACTGCTGTAGTCAGCCTGGGGCATCATGCTGTATTCATTTCAAATACACTCTTAGTGAGGCTCTCTAGGGACTTAAATGGAGCTTATAATAGTAACTTATGTAAGTTTATTTCAGCATTGCAAAATTAAAAAAAAATCACTGAAGATAAAAATTTTAATTAAGTTCTTTATCTTTGATTGAAAATGTAACTTGCAAAGAAAGATTAACATACCATCATGAGTAACCATGGGATGATTTCATCACTACTAATTTGAACATGAAATGCATCAGCATATAGAATTCAGACAGCTTTGTGAATTAACAGCCTCTGATGTCTGTATTAGAAATATCCTGCGGATATAATTTATGTATCAAAGCTTTCATTCTACTTTTGTTACAGCATATGGTGGTTAGCTGTGATGGTGCTTTATATTTTACAGTGTCAGTGACTCACTGATATTCTTAACCCTTTTCCTCTGCTGAGTGAGCAGCTGAGCTGAGAATTGCTTTTTTGCTGCTGTGTGTGAAAAGAGACAGACAACCTTTAACCTTTTTGAACTCTCTTACTTTGCACGTTAGCATGGGGGGAAAAATAGTGATCCTTTAAAAAAGTCAAGGCTTTCATTGTGGGTGCTGACCATGGGCTTTGTACATTTTATTCATTCGAATTATCCAGTAATTTCTTCTTTGTCTTGTTCAACATTTGTTATGCTTAAACTCTCATGAAGGGAATATAGCAAGCCAAAGAGAGTCAGTCTTCCTGTCACCTTTAACTGTTTAGTAAAATAAACCAATAAAATCTTCTTAAAAAAAAAAAGGTTAACAACAAGTGAATAAGATGTAAAACCAAAGGGTTTTTCCAAAACTACTCGTGGTAACTCCTTTCAGCAGTAACAGTATGGCATAGGTGCTTGTGTTGTACAATAACTTCTTAGCAGCAAAGTATGAAGTGCTTTTGTCCACCTATGAAATACTACTGCATTTAGGTGTATTATTTATGTTGTTATGGATTAATAGATCTCTTATTTAAATGTTAATATTTTAATAAAGCATGGAGTAGCAATTTTTATTTAATTATTTATATAACTCTTCTGATGTGTCTGCCATTTGTTTGAGGCCTTCATTACATTTGCAGGTCCATTAGTTTCATTTTGAGAAAGATTCATATTATTTTTTTCCCCTTATCATACTTGGAATTAAATGTCTGAGCTTGTTAGGGAGTACTGTATACAGCTGATTTAAAATAACAGTCAGCAACTATTTGAAGGAAAAGAGCATAGAGATTATCATCTTTCTTACATAAATAAGCCTGTGTGCTCCTTTATTGCAAGAGACTTTTTTACCAGTGTGTGTTTTTCATGTTGTGTTTCCTCTGGCAAGATGACTTTTGGTACACAAACCTTCCAGTACCTGGAGGTGGATCTACCTACTGATACCTTCATTCTTACTGCAGAATGAAACTTTTTACATTTGCGGTGATGAGTATTTTCCAGGTTTTTCATATGCTTTTCAGAGTTCAACTTAGCTGTCAGAGTACTCCAAGGCACTAAATATAGCAGACTGTAGTTTCTGAAGTACAGTTTAGAATGAATTTCCACATCTCAAAACTAGCACTAGATCAGAATTATGCCCACTCCTACTGCATTTCACTCTCCATTTCTGGTTCCATGCATATTAATGATGATTCAGTGTGCCTTTTGAGCTTGGCAGTCTGATTTTTACAGCTAAGAGGTAAATCTAAATAACATGATTTCCTGAATTGAAAAACATAGATTTCCTCCTAAAGCAGATGTTTTTTTATCAAGCTAGTGGTAGGATATTTCAAGGCAAGATTACTGTTCCCATTTCCATTTAAAGATAATGGACTAAAAGAAAAGAACACCTTGGTATATTTGTATTTTGGCTGTTAAGTGTTGACTTGTTTCTCTGACAGCTTTTCTTTCACCTAAGGAATTTTGGATTCCAAACTTCTTTTATTAAAATTGTCTGTGCTTTTGTGCTTTTAAAGGTTGAATGGTATAAGCAGATGTTAACTTTGTGGTTTGTTTTTTGTGTGTGTGCATTTTGGTGGCTTTTTTTATGTCTGGGTGGTTTCTTTTTTTATGGTTGTTCAGTTTTTAAAGTTTTGTTTGGTTGGTTTTTGTTTTATGTCTTTTTTTTTTTTTAATAAAGTTAATTAGTTAGTTTTGATCTTGCTGCTGGTTTATTACATACCTTTCCTTTCAATTTTCCACTAGTAGCTCCGAAATGCTATGAAATATGACTGACTTCAGACTCATTGGTGTCAATGACGGAAGGAAGTAGAGCACTCTGCAGGTGTAGACCTCATCAGGGCAACAGAGAAGTTAGTAGCTCTCCTAAATACTGCTCTTTCTGAAGGTTATTTGTGAAAGTGTGGCTCACATGGAGTACCAGATCCCAGGAGAGCTCACAGGTGATGCTCCTGTCTCTTCAGTCAGCTCGGTCAAACAGCAGAGCTCATCTTGGTGAGGTTTGGTCGCTCAAGACAAGATCTTGTCTGAAAACAGGCTCTAATGAACATCTAAACCTCTCTAAGATTTTGGATATTCTTCTCTTAAGAATTGAATACGTGTTTTTTCTGAGTCAGGGTTAAAGGCAAGCGTTTGAATCCTATTTAGCTTTTGATCTGCCCCTGAAGCAAGTGTTTCCAGTTTCTCTTTCCAGTCTTTCCTCATAAGATCTATGGTCCAGCTGGTACATGTAATGTTACCCAGCATTTTCAGCAGCATCTGCAGCCACACAGTTGGATTTCCTTAGATCCAGCCCAGACAAAAAGCTTGTCTGACTTCCACAGGGATTTGTACACAGTTTTTAGAGCCTTCCAGACTTGAGGTTTCATCTTTTATCCCCTCCATAACCATAAAAACAGAGGTTATTGTAACTGGCAGATGCTCAGTTTATGAAGTGCAAACAGGTTTAGAATAACATGTGTGCAAGTGCCCAAGGTGAGATACTCAAGGTAGTAAAATAAATTTAAGTTCACATTGTATGGAAAGTAACTTTTCTACATTGTTTGGATTTTCAAACTAAGTATGAAAACCTTTCAGTGTTCTGTTTTGTCCAGTGATATGATATATGGCTCGTTTAGCTCAGAATGATTTTCAGGCCCAATGAAATACCTCCATCCTTGTTAATACAATAGCACAGGTGTTTTATAGAGTTTTTTGTTTCTAAATTAGTTAGTAACTTGTTTAAAAAAAATTGATTTTCTTTCTTTCCCAGTTTGCTCTTCTTGGTGTGTGTAGCCCTAAATGCCACATTGAATTTATGGCTCTGTGAAGCTATCTATTCTACAGAATTTTAAATGTCTCCAAGGTGTTTTTTCTTCCTGCTCTAATCTTAATCAAATGAGCAGCCCTTGCTACTTACCTGGATTCCTTGGGAGCTTCAGCATCCTGCCCCCCCCTTTCTTCTTTTGTTCTCAGAAAATTTGATCATTAAACAATTAGACTCGAGGCAGAACAGCAAATGACACATGGATAATGATGAGGTCTGAAGCTCCCACATATAACCTGTTGAGTCTTCACAGGGGAGTTATGTCATGCTAAATTATCTGCATGTGTTCCTGATTGTATTCTGGCAAGGATGAATGAGAGGCTGAGCATAATGGAGATCCTTAATAGAAGAGGTGATGGACACATTAATTCTGGTGAATCCCACTGTCTGACAGAACTGTGTCTGCTGCCCTAAATCAAATTCTTTGTCAAATTAGCAGCTCAGAGAGCTGCCTGGTAGGCTGCAGATTCTGTGCTGGAAAAGGGTTTCCCATTCTGGTTTGATTCTGCCACCTAATTTAGCCATCAGTTAACTAATCCTGGAACTACTCTGTGGACATGCTTAGCACTGCACCAGTTCTGAAGGAGCTGGGATTTGACCCCAGAGGCGGATGGGGCTGCGTGGTGCTGTGACCATGAATGCACGCGTGTGTATGGAGTGGTTTCCATTGTTTGTGAAATCAGTGTTTCCATCACCCCCTTTCCAGGCACAGTCCCCAAGAGCTGCTTTCGTGCTTTCTGAGTGCAGAGCCGGACCTTTGCCTCGAAGCTGCACCAAAGCCGGGCTGTGAATCCTGTGCTGCGGCACTGGGAGAGGTGAACTCGCAGGATTGGCGGAGTAAAATCCAGCAGCTCCGGAGGCTGGTCATGGAAATCAAAGAGGAGAGACCGTCAGATGAAGCACGGCAGTTTCTCCCTTCATCCCAGTTAGACGGTCTAGGAGAGCCCCAGTTTACCAGTAAGTGCATGTGTTTTATGGAATGGTACAATGAAAGTGGCCCAGTCTCTGTGGCAGTTCAGATAGTGTCCCAAGCAGGGTACAAAATGCTGTTCAACTTCTTGCCTGTCAGAGTGCAGTTTAGAGGAAATAAACTGATGAAAATTGTCTTTAAATTTTTTCCCCAGTATGTTTTGGTTTATGCACACAACCTTCAGGGGAACAAATGTGGGATTTCTGTGTTTCTGAGTTGTTCTCTCTAACCTATTTTCTTCTAATAAGAATTAAAGCATTTTTTTCCTCTTTTATGTCCTACATGGATTACTGTTTAAAATATAGTCTGATACTGTTGATGAATGTACAAATCTTTAGTGATACTTCAACTACTATCACAGGTCTGTTCTATGTGATGTAAAAGCAGTCTGGGGAGTTGAATGCAAGTACCTGTATGTTGAGTTATATTTGGTGGTGCACTGCAGGCAGAAGGCTGTATTTCAGTTGCCCGGTCATTTAATGCTATAGCCAGCATTCATGAAGGTGTTTCAGGCCAATGTGGCAGAGTTCAACTCAAATTTATTAAAGCTCCATTAAAAAAAAAAACAACAAAAAAACCCCAAAAACAACAACAAAAAAAACCAACCCAATTTTCTTTTCTTTTTGACCTGTCTAAGCTCTGCAGCTGTAATTTTCCTCACACAGATGTGAATGAATAGCTACACTAATGAGAACAGTGTGAATCTAGACTTAGCAGCATAATGTTTTTATGGAGCAGACATAGCTATAATTTTGGGGTGTTTTTTTTGTTTGTAGGTTTTACAATTTTTTTTAAACACAAGTCTTACTCCAGTTCATATACCAACTATAATCCTTCCCATCAGACCAATTTCTTCAATACTGACCAATAATGAATAATGCTTACTAGAGAATACAAAATGTCAAAAAGAGAGTTTAACTTCTACAAGTTCATTGAAACTAGTTGTGATCCAATTAGTTTGTGCATCAGGTAAAAACCAAAGTGTTATTCACCTATCCCTCCTTGCTTCCTACTTTTCTCTTATTGCATCTCTGTGATTCACCCCTTTATTTTAGCATAAAAAAATATTGCCCTTTGCAATAGAACATAATTCCACAATGGATTAAACTGTTCCTGTCCCAGTTTTGTAAGAAGAGGAATTAATATGTTTATTCTCCAACAAAAGAAGTTGGGCTCATTGCTATACAATTTGTGGATCAATAATGTGTTTATATTTTACTCTATTAACCTGATCTAACTACTTTCACTAAACATGGAGTTTGATTTAATGTGATGACATACCTACTTAAAAATTACTTATGGGACTTAATATTTTCCCAACTCATATATAGTCAGTCACTGTGACTGGAAATCTTACAAGTAACACAGCCATGAAAACCTGTTTTTTACCCTAGTTTCCTTTCCCAGCAGCAGAAAGTTTCCATTAAGAAGGAAGTCTTCTTCCAAAGTAGCCTTTTTTCAGGCAGGCATTTCATCCGAGTTTGCTTTGACCATGAGTTTCTAACCTAGAATGTTACTTCAATGGCAATGGCAGTAGTTATAGGCATGTCAAAGTTCTGCTGTGTATTAATTTGATTTCCATGTCTTGCCTTTTCTCTCTAATATTTTTTTTCTTGACCTTTTAAGGTATTCAGAGAATTGCAAATGAGCCAAAGCTGGAGTTCAGTCTTGGTAAGATACAATTTTGAATTTTTGAAATTATAATGGCCTGTGTGTGGAAAGTTTTTATGTATATAGTGCTATACAGTGTAGCATGTGACCTTTTTAAAAAATTGAAGGTCTAGATGGGAGAAGTGCCTGTGTGTGCCTTTTGAAACACTGATTTTAGTTTCTTAATTGGTTGGAATGGCTAAAGGTTTATTGAATTCTCGAGTGCTGTGCTGCTCTACCAGGGTGAAAATCTGCCCAACAGCTTTGTGAATGCAGCTTTTGAAATACTACTTATTTGGAAAAAGACATTTAATTTGAAGCTTTTGAAACAATATCCAGATAAAAGGACTGTTGCTTTAGAACAGACTTTAAATGTGATGTTATTTGGTAGTGTGGAGGCAATGTAAATATTTACCTGACTTTGCCGTTTTATACTTAGTAATACTTAGTGTACTTAAAAATTGGTATATGAGAATTATATATTGTTATAGCATGTAGCAGAATTGTTTTGGGATGGATTCTATCAGCTCAAGCTTCCCCTTCCATTTAGAAGTACAGAACAATTCAGATTGCTCAGTAAGTCAAGCAATCTAATTGAATAATGGTATATTTGTAATACAAGACCAAGGAGCACAATATGTCAGCTCAAACTGTGCAAAGCAAGCTTGGCTACTTTTCGCTATTCTTTCAGTGCAAAAGCTTTGAAGCCTTTGAAATAGTAAGTGAAATAGTTATTTGCTGTAGAAGCAGTGAACACAGAAATTCTGTGTGGGAAATAAGAACATTGGTTAGTGGCTCCGCTCTCTTTGGGGTCTTTGCCAACTGAAATGATCCTGTGATTACTCCCTGCTCCTGTGTGTGGGAGAAGAACACAGTCACAAATAGTGACTTTTCAAGTATTTGATTCTACGTGCATTCTGAACTAAAACTTGTCAAATTTGTTACAATGTTTACATCCATACCACCTGTGAATATATATCTGATGTTGTGTAGCAGTACACTAGGAGACTTTTACTCAGTGTTATTCAGTGTCTGTTAAAATTCACTCTGGTAGAAAAACTTCTATAGCATCTGTTGCAAAAAACGTTAAGTGTAAGGGGGAGAGGGAAATACAGATAACTGTGAGCAGAATATTATATAAGTATCAATTAGACTGCTCTATTTGGAGAATTTAAATAGTCTACAAACATATGTCCTTCAGAAACTCCAAACACAGCAAACATGAGTGATGTGGCTCCTGTGGTTCTGTTTTTGCTCCTTGCATTCTGGGGGCTTCTTTCCTGGCCTTGTCCTTGGAACTGGGTTGCACTCAGCTTGTGTGCTGCTGCAGCTGCACTGATTGAAAAGCTGACACCTTAGAGCTGTGCCCTTTGAGGCAGACACAGTTCTATTCCATACAGGTATTTTTAGAATACCTTACATTTTATCTGTGTATTTTTTATCTCTATGTCTTTTAAAAATTAGGTAGTGATGGCATTGCAAAAAATTTTGTCGAGTAGGTTATGGGGTTTTTTCTGTATAGACTATTTCTGCAGAAATTGTTAAATGTTGCATGGAACAAAGGCCTCCTTCTCTGTTGGTGGGAAATCACCATGTTATTCAATCGTTAAGAGCAGGTTTAACTTGCCTGTGCATTTCTATTTACATTTTATAGGTGATGTGACTGTAGTGTTTGGGCAGAGCCAGTAATTGCCGCATTCCAGCAATAACAAACTCTCACAATGACTCAGGTGTAGGGTGGGAGAGGGAGGAAGGTGCTGCAGGCACTGACTGCAAATTAGATGAGCAGTGCTTCAGGAAGAGTTGCGTTCAGTGATACATGTGCCCCAGCAGGCAGAAGTGTAAAAACAAAGTAAAGAGTTGTTTGGGCTTGTGCTGGATGGATCTCTGTTCACTCAGCGTCAGTGTTTGTGTTTTGCATTGGGCTGTTCCTAGTTGGCGTTTGTGTTCTGTGGTTTGTTCTGCAGCAATATTGATTGAGTCGTGGTTTTATACGCTGGATCCTGCTGCTGCTCAGGTAACAATTAGGAGTAGCAGCATAAACCTCTTGATTTTGGCTGATAGACCTGTCCAGAGCCCTAAGTCAGGGATATTTGGCAACACAGGCAATTGTATAAAGGTGATTCTTAGTGTCTTGAACCTTAAATAGTACTAAATATTTAAGCATAACACATTTGCATTAGGGGAATCCACCTTCAGTCCATGAAATTCCTAGCAGTTATCCTTCTGACTGGAATATCAGCATGCCCATGCCAGCACTTCCCAGCTCCTGCAGCCCCGGTCACCAGCACTGTCATATTGTTCATATTCATATTTGTTATGTAATCAATATTATTGCATTAGTTAAGTACCATCCTTACATGTATATATGCAAATAGACATTTGCTTCTAGCATTTGATATACAAATGCGTTTAAATACATTAAAAAAACTGTAGCATCTCATAATTGTAGTTTAAGTCTTTTGTCACTTGTTGGTCAATAAATAACATTCAGAACTGGAACTCCAGTAACTAAAACAACATATAGCTTTTAAATGATATTTGAGTGCTACCAAATACATGAGTTTTATTTGGGGACGTTATAACTAAGTGCTGCTGTTCAGTGTTGGAAGTTCCGATAACTGAATCTTGAAATAATGATATTAAAATTCTTCCTAGAGTTTTGTATTTTGTTATGGTAGTTACCTTGCGACATCCTATGTCCATAACACTCTGGAAAGCACTCCTTTCATATAATGTCTAAATATTGCCTTCTCTTATTTTATTTGAAAGTGCAATAAAGTGCTCTCTTTTCTTCTTTTTCCCTGAGGTTAAAGCAAAGAATAGACCTGTGTTCTGTATGCAGTTCCATGAAGCGTTGGGAGGGAGGATGTGACAGCCTGTGCAGGGTGATGAGTAGAGAGGAGGAGCAGGGCAAAAGGAATGAACCCAGATACTGGGCCTGAATAACAAACCAGTGAAACTGATAACAATCTTTCCCATGACTTGGAAGTGTGCGGTTTTAGATCTTACATATATGTTTATTTTGAAGCTGCTCTTCTTGGTTGCTTCTCCAAAATATCCCAGCCCTTGAGTCCCAGATGTAAATAAATATGTTGTGGATTCCTGACTTCACATTGATGTAGCACAGCCACTTTGAAGTATGTGAGCCCAGCTGATGTACAAGGTTATAGTTATGGGAGATAAATTATATTGTGCATTTTGAACACTATTGTGAAGTTTTCAAGAGCTTGTGCTTTTATAAGGGTATTTGGTAGTGAGCTGGCAAAGCAGAACAAGAAAATTGCAACCATCAGGAAAATGAGGGAACAGGGTAGAATGCATAGTTAGTGGTCAAGGTGCTCAAACACAAACTAGGTAATGAACATGGTGTTAATAGGGAGAAATAAATCGGAGGAAAAGAGGAAATAAGTTTGTTAGCTACTCTCTCAGTAACCAACACAATTTTAGTGGTTTTGCTTTTGTCTAATTGCTTGGATCTGCAAAGAGAGTGCAAGGTGTAGTATGGTAATAGTAACCAAAATAGCTGTATAGAAAAAATGTCTCTGCACATATTGTAGCATATTCAGGTGATAATTTTTATGACAGCACCTGTCTGACATTTCCAAACGTGCTTTTTTTTTTTTTTTGCAAACATATTAGATCCATGAATTTTGATGGACTGTTCTATTGTTGAATGACCTCTAGGTACTTTTCAAAGTGTAGAGTAATGTAAATCTTATGACTATGTTTTTACAAAATCTCACTAAATAGTGCACAAATCACAGAAAACTTGAGCAAGTGTTTGCAAGAATTAAAATTAAAAATTTCTAGGTGATTTATTCTTTTCACCAAATTGATACAAAAGCAGTCTACCTATAAATGCTGAAGCTTTTATTCTCCACGATCGTATTTTTCCCCGAGTGATATTGTGATGCCATCACTTTGGAAAAGGTCTTGAAGCAGATTTAACTCTGCCCACTGAAAATAAATGGTATATCGATGCTGCTCAAAGAGCATGACTAAATGATTTTTCCAATTCTGAAACATAATCTGGAGCTTTTTCAGCAGCAGCTGTTCCTGGAAGAATGATAAGCAGAAATACTGGTTTTATCCTGACCACAAACTTGAAGCCAGTCTTGATCCCAGTAGAATTTGCCCATTTGGTTATCCTTCTGCTTCATCAAGTTATGAGTTGGTGAATAAATGATGCTTTGTTGTGTTAGCCAAATAAAATTGTAAAAAAAGTCATCATCGTGCTTTTGAGTAAATCTAAAAAGTGATCATCTCCCTGTGAATCAAACTCAGTGTCACATATTGCTCAGGGATATTTCTCGCTCAAAAAAAGTTGTGTTTGCCATGTTAGAAAAAATAGCAGCAATAATATAAAATAAAGGCTGGGTTTGTGAGTTTTAAATTTTATTTGTTGATTTTGCTCTTTTTGTTGTAACAGTTTCCTGAATTTTGCTTGAGTTTGTTCTGGCCCCACACAAATTCCATCTTCACCAAACCAGCTAGTCAGGTTTGTTTTTTCCCCCCTCTTAGTTTTACTGATGTATCTTAGGTACTGTTACATCACAATAACACATAGTAAAGAAAAGGCAATTTAAATTCATCAGAAAAGATTCAGGATGTAGAAAAGCTACCACATGATTGGAAAGAATGCTCTTGTTTTCCTCTGGGAGCTACTGGTTTGACTTCTGGCTGCTTTGAGACTTTTGCAGCATAAGATGCCTTAAATGCAGTTTCTTCTTAGTAACTTTTTAAATTTTAGTAAATCTTTAAATTTGTACCTGTAGGCACTGTAATTCTAGAAATCTGTCCTTCAGTCCCTTTTAGGCTAGGGATTGTCTTCGTTTGCACTGCAGCTAGAGAAGCAGGATGCTGTCACGGTCCTTAAATATTAATCTGCACTAATTGTAGGGCTTACTATGCAAGGACTCAAAAATTCCAGACATGAAACTTGGGAAGATATGTGAACAGTTAGTGCTCTCTGTGCTTTTTGCATATTAAGAGAAATTGAAAATTCTGTTTATAATAAT